TTATATTAGATATCCACTTTGCATCACAATATCCTTCCGATACTGCATGATATTTTGTGAAGTGGTTAAAGTGTGTTTTAGATACCTAAGAACCCTATTCAATGTCTACCAATTATCATGGCTCAAATCACTCCTGAATTTGCTAAGCACCTATTTGGTAGAGATTAAAATAAGATTTTCAGTAGATTTTGATAAAAGCTGTTGAAATGTGTAGTTGAAAACTTGTAGATCTCATAAAATGTGTGGTTAAAATTGTAGTTGATTTTGACTTAGATTTTAATCTGGATTTTAATTTCTACCAAATAAAGGCTAAGTTTAGTCATAGCAAATGTTATATCAAGTCGAATGCAATTCGTAATATACATTGAACTGCCTATAACCTGTAAATGCTTTAGTTGAAACATCGGTTCACACTTATTCTTGACTAAGTGTAGACGTAAATCAATAGGGGTTCTTGCTGGGCTTTCCTCATATATATTAAATCTCTTAAGTGCACTCTTAACATAATGAGATTGGGAAAGTACAATTCCATTAGATAGTATAGAGATCTTAATCACTAGATCACATCAGCCACACCCATGCCCTTAATGTGAAAATGTGTCGTTAACATTTTCTTGGTGTTTAGGATTATGTCGTGACTATTGTCCATAATTAACATGTCATCTACATACAGACATAAAATTACATAGGTTTTAGGTTTATATTTTATGTCTACACACTTGTCCACTCATTAATTTTAAAACCATTGACAATATAGTTTTGTCAAATTTTTGGTGTCATTACTTTAGAGATTGCTTCAACCCATATAGGGACTTAATAAGTTTACAAACTTTCTGTTCGTGATTAGGAGCAATGAACTCTTCAGGCTGCTCTATGTATATTTTCTCTTCTAATCTACCATTCAAAAATGCAGGTTTCACTTCCATTTAATGAATCTCAAGATTATGCAATGAAACAATTGCAATTAACAATCTTATCGAAATGATTCTAATCATAGGTAAGTAGGTATCAAAGAAATTAAGTCATTATTTTTGCTTATAGTCTTTGGCAACCAACCTAGCCTTGTAATTGTCTCAAAAAAGTCAAGTCTTTCCCTATGCCTATAGTCTTTGGCAACCACCAACCTACCCTTGTATTTGTCAATGGATTCATCCAGTTTCAATTTCTTCTTGAAAATTCATTTACATCCTAAAGGCTTAATTCAGGTGGTATATTAACCAACTCCCAAGTATGGTTTTGAATTATAAAATCTATCTCACTATTGATAGCTTATTTCTAATGCGATGCTTCCGGTGTAGACATTGCTTCACAAAATGTATTCGGATCATCTTCTACCATAGAGGTTAAAAAATCAAGACCATATGAAGTAGATGTTCTAGCCTTTTTACTGTGCCTTAGTTCTTCATTTATAGTACCATTTGTAGTCTCATAAGTTCTCTTATTTGAACTTAAGACTTCCTTATCTTTAGATGGAAAGATATTTTCGAAAAATGAAGTATTTCTTGATTCAGTCATGGTGCCTTCATCTATGTCTTGAATATCATATTTTTAAACAAGAAATCGATGTGCACTACTATTATTGGCATATCCAAAAAATATGCAATCAATTGTCTTAGGCCCAATTTTTACTTGTTTTGACTATAGTATTTCAACGTTAACCAAACACCCCCACACTTTTAAGTGCTTATAAGAAACAAGATAATCTTTCCATAATTCATATAGAGTTTCATTCATTTTCTTTTGAGGTATTTTATTTAGAATCCTATTTGCAAAAAAGTATAGCTTATCCCCACATGTTTTGACATTGCATTCACCTTCTCCTTAAGAGTTCAATTTTTTCGTTCAGCAATATCGTTTGATTGAGGTGAGTATGGTGCCATTATTTGATAAATAATGTCATGTTCAGAACAAATTTCTTTAAACGGTGCCCCGTATTCTCCTCTTATATCATTTCAAATATTCTTTATTCACTTACTAAGTTAATTCTCAACTTTCGTTTTATAATTTTTGAAAGCATTTAAGGCTTCACCTTTGCTTCTTAGCAAATAGACATAACAATACTTTGAACAATCATTGATGAAAGTGATAAAGTATTTCTCCCAACCTTTAATTTGAACAAATTTCAAATCACAGATACCATTGTGTATTAATTCTAATGGTGTAGTGTTCCTTTGAACCAAATGAAATAGTATTTTGGCCAATTTTGCCTCAATACAAATTTTACATTTATGATTAGGATTAAATTTTAGCGTTGGTATCAAACTTGGATTCATAAGTTTACAAATACATTTGTAGTTTGCATGTCCTAATCGATTATGCTGTAAACAAGACAACTCAAATATATAAACAGAATTTAAACTTTTATTAATAATGCTTTATTTCGGTACAATATTAAGAACGTAAGAACGTTCATTTTAAACATTCCGTAACATAAGTATCATTTTACCAATATACATCACATTCTTAGTGATTATAGATTTATCGAATATAAATATTAATTTAAAGTCATTTTTGCTAAGTAGAGACTCGGATACAAGATTCTTGCGAATGTTTGGTATATGTATGACATTATTGAGGACGAGCTCTTTGCCGGAAGTCATCTTCAAAGTAACCTTCTCTTGTCCTTTAACTTTGGAACTTGTAGAAATTTCCATGAAAAACTGTTCTCCAATCACATTTTTGTAGTTTGAGAACATTGTCTTGTGTGCACAAATGTGACGTGTAACACTAGTGTCAACCCACCATTCTTTAGGATTCCTAATGTTGTTACATTCAGAAATAACCATAGATAGATTCGTCTCTTTTATCCCTTCAGTTAGGATATCTCCTTCAACCACATTTGCTTGTGCATTCTCCTTAGGCTTTCGGCATTCACTAGATTGATGTCTCGCTTTACCACAATTATAGCAGTTGCCTTTGAATTTCTTAGCTTCTTGGTGTTGTCTCTCTTTGGTGCATCACCCGAGATCTTGAACTTTTTGTTGATCCTTGAACCGGATATCACAAAGTTGGCTCCAAGTTGAACAATGGACTTCCTTTCGATCGTTTTCTTGTCTTCTTCAATCCGTAGTCAAACAATTAGTTCTTTCGAGTTCATCTCTTTGTGCTTGTGCTTTTGCTTGTGCTTGAGATAGTATTTAAAATTTCTCCATAAAGGATGGAGTTTTCTCGACGATAGCAGCAACTTGGAATGATTCACTCAACGTCATCTTCTCTGCATGATGTCATGAAGTAGAACCTGCAATTCTTCACTTAATTTATGATGGTTTTAGAGCCCATCATCTTGTACTCAAGGAACTTTCCGTAATGAACTTCTTTGTGCCCATGTCCTCCGTTTTGTACTTTTTTTCCAAAGAATCACAAAGTTCCTTAGCAGATTTTATCGTACTATACACATTGTATAATGTATTGTCCAATTCATTTAGGATGTAGTTCTTGCATAAGAAGTTCGAGTGCTTCCAAGCATCCAATGCAATAACTGATTCCCGATTATTTGCTCCATGTACCATAGGAGGATCTTCGGTTAAGAACATTGCCAAATTCAAGGTAGTGAGACAGAACATCTTTTGTTGCAATCTTTTGAAATCCACACCGCTGAATTTCTTTGGTTTCTTTCCATGTGGAATTGGAGTAGTTTGAATTGGTATAGCTAATGGTGGAATGGCATTTGTTGCCGAATTAGGTATTAGAGGAACCACATCATTTGTAACATTTGTTGTTTGACTCGTATTAGTCTCGACGGTATCCATTTATGTTACAAAAACAAATTCAAGATAAAAGAATTAAGAACGAAACAACACTTATGCTTATTCCAAAAGATCAAGAGAATCGATTTTTGAAACCCACAAAACAACGAAAATTCATCTTAAAACTTGTTGGGGATTTAGTGCACAACTCAACAAGAAATTAACAATGCTGGAACCCTATTAAACAAAGATGAAAAGAAGGTAGGAACTATAAACTAAATGGAAACTCCGAGGCAAGTGTTTAACACTTTGTCTTTAAAATGAATTTGCCCCACAACAGTGTTAATGGAGGTTTGGCAATCGTCTCCCAAGATACAATTGATTATCTTTGTAGTAGAATCACTTCAAACTACAATGCAAAGTCGAATAAGAAACAAAATTTCTCTGCTCAACAAAGGTTTTTTATGTAAGAAAAGAAGTGATTTTGCAAGAGTTTTGATGCTAAGTAATCATGTAGAATGATTTGGGATGAAATTATGGCAATTAGGGTGCCTAATTTGTAGAAGGTGAGAGATTGTGGTCGAAAAGACACCCTAAAACTCAGCATGTTTCATCAAGGGTGGTAGCCATTCAGGCCGTTCACCTATTGCCCGTTTTGCCGCTCAAGCGCCTAGAGCAATGACCTAGCGCTCGTCGATGCAGTCTTGTGTAGCCAAAAACTCCTTTTTTTTTTTTCCTTCTAATTTTGATAACAATTCATTCATTTAGAATTGGTTTTGACATTCCAAATATACTATGATCATCCACTCGACGAGTAGAACAAGTTAGTCAATTTACTTTCATAATTTGACTATCTTATCATGTTCGAATATTTGTCCAAAGTAGACACAAAATCACTTTTCATGATTTTTACATAACCAATTTTCGTATGTATTTCAAACCAAACTCCAACAATAATAATATAATGTTTGCAAAAAAAACTAAAAAATAAGGGGCTGAAAGTCTGCAACGCGATGTAACATAAGACAGTTGCAATCGAGGCTTGTCAGTGTTCTTCTTAATGCATGAACTGGGCTTCCACCATTGATGAATTCCATGTGCTTCCATGAAATTTTTTGAGGGGCTCAAATTTGTCGTAAGATTTGCAGAAGGAATAAGATGCATTGGTTCGGAATCCTTTCCACGTGCAGCTGAGACGATGCTCCCTATCGAATGTTGAGTAGCAAGCATTCCAATTTTTCCAGCACCCATTTTCACCATATTCTCCGTGTTCAAAGTAACCAACACATTCGGAACATATAGGATCAGACGGATTTAGAAATAAGTATGGAACCCAAGAAGTAACACGATAAAGGGATCGTCTTGTGGAGCCTTTGGTTTATGAGCACCATTGACAGCAATGGCAAGTCCTGCTGCAAAAACCCTATCTGCAAACCTCCCTCCATGCTTCAGCTTCTCGTTTTTTATTCTTTCTATTGGAGGAGACATGGATGGCGAATTGAAGAGATAAGTTTCGATATGAATACCATATTTCCCCGTCAGTAGAGCTATGGATGAACCTAGTGAATGTCCTGCTAACCAGACGTTTTCTAGTCCGGTTTTGTAGACAATGTTCTGGTTAGCTTCCATTCCAACCCGAAAACGTGAACTCTTTTGAAGATTATTGATAATGCAGTGAAGATTAAGCTTAAAATCCCGTGATCGGTTGCCCCATTTGCTGATTGTGCCTCTGGAAGGCAATCACGTATTTTGGGGGATTTTGGCCGCCGGGGTAGTTGGGATATGGATAGTGGAATTTGAATTCGTAAATGGCGCCAAAGAATGACCGATCGTCCTCATCCGCTATAACTTGGTTCAACATGAAATTGAAAGATTCCCACCATGGAGGAGCAAGAGCTTGAAGGCCTAGGCGGTTTTGCTAGCGGTCATGTTCAAGTATGTAGACGCCCTAAACAAGGCTCGCAGCAATGGACTTCCGATGATGTGAGTTATTCCTGAGAACACAACCATGAAAGTTGTCGATTTTAAATTGAAATATGTAAAATTGATGACATGTATACTGCAAAGTAGAAATTTAAATTTTCAATCATATAAGTAAAAATTAACTCACCAATCAATAGTTGTCAGGTATGATGGTCCAGTAAGGCTAAAATTTTCCCTGTCAGAGGACATTCAGTCCCCAGGTTTCCAAATTATGATGTCCCTGAGAAAACTTTCCATTTAATATAACCTGTTACTTTTTTTATTCAAGTACAAGACAAGGAAGAAAAGACCAATACCTCAACTGTGGAATGAAATCAATTCTGCCCTAANAATCACTCAAAAGTTTTTCAAGAATTTGGTGCTTTTGATCTTCTCGAAGATAGAGAATAGGGTAGTTATGATCAATAGAAGCCTCACTTTAATGCTCAAGAATGGTTAATGCAAGTGGGGAAAAAGTGAGGTATTTATAGCACACAAACCGGCCAAAACTCTGTCCATCCGGACAAGGCATTCAGTCCCCAGGTTTCCAAATTATGATGTCCCTAAGAAAACTTTCCATTTAATATAACCTGTTACTTTTTTTATTCAAGTACAAGACAAGGAAGAAAAGACCAATACCTCAACTAACCTTACTTTAGTTAAGACGGGATTGAAGACAGACGCAACTATGAGTCTCATGGATGGTTCGATTCTGATTTGGGATGAGCAATTACAGCGTACTTAACACTTTCAAGTATGACACCAAGTGGTGTGTGACAAGCTCTAATGTGAAAGATTAATGTAATAATTTGTTTCATTAGTAGCTTCCTGAATAATATTTTTCATTTTGACAAATGAAAGCTAAAGATCGAGGTGTTCAAAAATGGGCTTTTAACTTGTTACGAGTTCACCTCGCAATTACATTCAAATTAATTACTTAACTAGACCTAGTTTCTTCAATATCCAAATTGTTTGACAATCAGAAAACAAGGGCACCCACCTCTTTTAGATTTTACTTCAAATAAGAAATTACATTTCCAAGAGTTTGTACGACACGCCTTGTGTGGGAAATCGAGTTCTACAATACCATTCAGAATCTCCTATTTTCCAAATAACTTAAGCACTAATATCCACGTCGAGTTAGATTGCAAAAACAAGTCATTTAATGGTAATTCAACTGTCAACACCAACAAACTACCCCTGTTTCTGTTTGAGCCTTTTGTTTGGAAAAAAATGTATTACCGAATAGTTTTTTTTGGATAATGTGTGGTCAACAGTATGAAAAAAATTTAGGATTGAGTATAAAATTATTTAGGAAGAATGAGTGATTGAAAATCTGTTACCCAAATTCCTTTTCACCACTTGGATCTATTCAATACTACATTTAGGAGAACGATTAATGGTAATTCAAAAGAACAAATATAATTAAACATGTGAAAGAGAGAACAGTTACTGTACAAAATGTGATGACTGCACACTCGTGAAAATTTGGAGAAGCAAAAAAAATTCAAAATTCTGACAAATAGTTCAAGTAGATTAGCGATACCTCAAAGAACAAGTACTGTCCTCCACACAGGAAATTGTTGAAGTTATTCAACCCTTCTTTACATGTAACTGTTCAACTGTGTATGTGCATTCAAAGTTCAACTCAACTGTACAATATTCATATAATCTAAAACCCTAGAATTCCATCGAAGTCAATTGAGCGAAGGTAGGCGACAATACGTACCTTTCTAGCAATTCGCATCCGACAATGAAGATTAGCAACTTGGTAAATATTACAATTCGGATCTTAATCTAAGTCAAAATTAACAATTAATTTTAATCATATATGGGATCCACCACTTTTCAATTACATATTTTATCAATTTTTATCAAAATCTGTTGGAACTTTTATGTCAACTTAGACCAAATATTCGGATTTGATCCGATAGTTAAATTATGAATATAAATAGACTAACTTATTCGACTCATCGAGTAGATCATCATGGTATATTTAGAATCTCGAAACCAATTCCGGATGAATGAGAAATTACAGGTCAAAGTTGGATAGAAAGAGGATGCACGGACTGAAAATTGACTATCTCTATCGCTTGCCTATCGCACAAGCAATGAGAGCGACAGGATAGCGAGAGAAGTTCAAGAAAAAAAAAAAAGGTGTCACCGTCGCTTGAGTGATCGTAAATGTTGCGACGTTTGGCAAAGATTGCTGAGTTTGGGGCGCAATATTTCACTTACAACCTTTCATCTTCTATATAAAGAACCCTTTGGACATTTATATGCATTCCATATCATTTGCATTGAGCATAATCTCAAAAACCCTTGCAAAACACTCTACAACAGTCATTTAAAAACCCTTTTTTGTGTAGAAAGACTATCATTCTAAGCTCGTTGTTGCTTGTGGTTTGAAGTGCTTCTACCACAAGTTGTATTCGTTGTATCTTGAGAGATAAGTGTCATAGTCTATTAGCACTGTTGCGGGGCAATATTATCTTAAATAGAAAGTGTTTTCACTTGCCTCGAATTTCGTTTTCCTTTTGTTTTCTTCTTCTTACTTTCTTTTTTTGTAGTTTAATTACACTCCTGCGAATTAAACTAGAATAATTCCTTGTCTTGAACAACTATATACATATTCTATCGCACATCCTCTAACAATCTTAAGACAATATCCGTCTGTTTTTTATTGTTACATCATTTCTTCATCTTTGGAATAGGCCTTTGTGTGTTATTCATTTCTTTTTATATTTTGTACGTTGAACTTCTGTTTATAATAGAAACGAATCGTGTTGAAACTACTTCGAGTCAAATAACAAATGGTACGAACTACAAGGTTTCACCTTTGGTCATACCTATATCTAACTCTCACATCCCACATGGGAAAAAAATTAGAAAAATTTGGAAGTGTGGATTTTAAAAGATGGTAACAAAAGATGTTTTATCTTACTATTTTGAATTTGGTAAAGTTCCTAAAAGAATGGGCTCATTTTGTACAAAAAGGAGAAAATAATCGTTAGTCGATTATTGCATTAGATGTGTGGAAGCATTCGGATTTCCTTTACAAAAATTACATTCTAAATGGATT